CACTTTTCCTGACAAGCATTAAGAGATTTAACACCCAGCATAAAGCAGCTCACGAGCTCTTCAATGGCTAATGTTAAAGCAAAGACCTAAAGATGCAAACTGTCCCTCCCCACACCACCACCCTGGTTGTGCTCCCAGCTCATCCGAGGGCTCAGTGCATGCAGCAGCACCGGCACTGATTTCTCCTGACATCCCAGCAGTAACCAGAAGGTCCATCAGTAGCCAAAGCCATATTTACAGAAGTGTAATGACTCCCTTCTGCGTTTTCTTGGCCACACGCACATCCCCTTCTTTTGTTCGTGGCCTGAGATGCACTGGAGCAGCTGCACCTGTAGCAATTTAAAATATCATGTTTCATCCCTGAAAACAGTATTCTGTTTTGCTTCTTCCGCAACTCCCTTTATTAACAGAAGCATCCAAATGAAAACCCAAACGAACTAACTCTCAACAGGACTTTTGGAAAGCACTATCATAACTGCTGCCTATCAACAGCAGGGCAAAATGTTCAAGCTTTTTAAAAATGGTCACGTAAATCTTCCATTTGCCTTGAGTTCCAGATCCGGACTTTGACTGCAATTACTGCCATTCGTCGTTTCTAGGAGAATTCAGTACTTGTGCCCCATTAAACGCCGTTAAAGGGGATAATTAGCTGGAGACTGACAGTAATTTAGTCAGTTCATTTATCAGAAGGGATAAAAGTAGCCTGAAACACGTTAATACGAGGTTCTAAAAATTGGTATTATTCTATGCCATTGTGCAACTAATATATCAATAGCGTGAGGAACGCAGACTGCGGTGTTAAGCGGAATTACTGGGGTGTATATAATGTTTTGCCTCATAAAGTCTGGCTAGGGCGAACAAATTATTTAGCTCTAATACTACAGCTGAATTAAAAGCTCAAACGTATAAAAGGGTGTATCTAAGAATCAATAGTGGATCACCGAAGCATTTAATCACTGTTTTACTGATCTTCCTGCACTATCTGAACTCGAACTGACTCGTCACACTAAAATCAATGGGGCTAACATACTCATTAAAGATGGCTCTTTTGGAGGAATGAGACCATCAGAGTTTGAAAAATTAATTCAGGGCATAAGAGCTAAAAGCTGCAGCTGTGAATAGGACACGGGCTTGTGCCCAAAGGCTTCCCGTAGGAGCAAGCAACTCTGTAAAAATTCCCTTACCAGAATTTCCCTTGCAATCTTCCACCGAGGGCAAATAGCCGTGACTCCCAAGTACAACCATGTGTCTCTGACCAGGGACACTGGGGTCAGGACTGAACCAGGACCCATAGGTGTACAGCTACGGCTCAAGAACCGCTTAAACGCTGGGCACTGCCACACCAGAGATCTCTGTCCCCACTGCTGGCTGCAGCCTGGCTGTGGCTAAAAATCTCAAACCAACTGTATGTGGTCCTGAGGGAGAGCTCAGCTTTGGATAGCCCTGCTGTCTAGATGTGCAGGAGATAAGCTGCTGAAAGAATTTAGTGCCTAGCATCTATTCTACTTCCACGCCACTTCCCTAGTGGCACTTTCATCCTAAAAAGGGGTTGCTTGAATAAGTAACACGCACGTTGGATTTTGAAGACGACAGAGCAGCCTCTTCCCTACTGCCTGTGGGGAAAAAGGCACGGGAGGAGCGAGCTGTCAGATTACAGCAGGGCAGGAGATCTGAATAGCAATACAAATCCCTGAGTTACTTTGCAGTCAAAGAAAAACTGCTCCAACCTGTGCACATCCATGCGGACCTGATCCTGGTACATGCAAAGATACAAGCTCAGACCTGGTCCCAACTGTTTCTGCTGTCTCGCATTGCTCTCTACCTCCTGCAGCAGAGGTTCCCAGCCGGTTCAGGCACTCTGCAAAGCCTTTTGGGGGAGCTGGACGAGGGCCCTTCATTCCCTATGCCTCCCACGCTTCTTTTTCTTATTTATACTCTTTGCTAGTAGTTTGCTGCATCCTCCTGCCAGGCTTCCTTACGTGACTCTGTATCTCAGCTCTGACCTGCACATCTGACACACTGGTCCCGAGACTCATTCCTGGTCTGTCAGTTCAGCTGCGATAGCTTCTGTTTGGCATGCGCAGGCTCCAGACAGGCTCTCCCAAAAGTGAGGACATCAGATTTCTGACTAGGGTTTCAGCAGACTGGCTGGAAAAGGATGTCGCTCAAAAATATTCAAAGATAGCATTTTCTTATTATTATGCAATTATTGAACAAATATTAGAGTGCAAAACTGCCCCTGGGATTGGAAAATGGAATTAAGTCTTCCAACAAATACCAGAAAATGGATCCTGACATCTCTATTAGCAACAAAATGTTTCATGCTTAGAAACCGGTAATCTAACACCCCTCCAGGGAATTCAGAATGGAGAGAAAAATGGTCCAACACAGTATTAGAAGGAAAGAAAGATATATACATAGATTCAAATGAGATGCAAACTGGCTGTGGGGTAGGGAGGGGGGGAAGTCTCTGTGTTGGTCCCACCTCAGTGCATTTACATGCAGTTCGGGTGGCCATTAATGAAAAGCAGTGGCCTAGATCCTCTGACGGTTTCCTCCTGTGCCCAGCAGCGCTAAGCCTGGCATAATCAGGCACAAAAGCATCACCCCATGCAGGGTACATCCTCCAAAACGCTGTTGTGCCAGTAAACTGCATCAATCCCTGCAAGCAGCAAAAAGGGCACAGCTGGGACATGTAACGTGGCTCAGTTTCCTCTGCGTGTGCCAAACTTCAGCTGGTCTTGGAGAGCTCACAGACAACGCGGCTCAGATCAGCTTTTAGGCTGCTCTGGTTCACACAGCTGGCCAAGCTGGTGCTCCTGGACCACGTACTAATACAGAGTGACCAAGCATCCCTGTTTGACCTGAGCAATACAAAAACTGTCCCAGCGCACAAGCTAAAAACTCCAGCATGCTACTTTCTGCAGGACACAGGATTTTCCTGTAGCTCCCGTCTTCAGCCTCAGCCCTGGGAACTAACCGATTCCCAGTGTGGCAGCAGAAGAGCTGAAAACACAAGTCCCAACTGACTCGCGTCATGTAGGTCAAAACGAGGAACGTGGCTTTGCACGGGGTGAAGTATGGGCATGTAACCATACCTGGGGAGCTGTTAGGTTTCAGCAGAAGGGAAAAGTCAGCAGTGCGAGTTTGGTGTCTCCTCCCCAGCTGTGTTTGGCTGTAACACAAACTCGGGCACCACAAGGAACAGCTACCTGGCCAAAGCTCTCCTTTGAAGCTACATTAGGCATTTACTGGCCAGGAGAATAAATAAATGAAGACCTGGTCAGTATTTTGCAGGTGATTTACCTGATTCCTAAGCTGGATTTTAACGATGATATAATTCTCAAAGAAAATACACAGCCTCAAAGGATCAATACACAACCAACAAGACGCCTACCAGTTTGCCTCCTCCTAAGAGTGCTGTTCTCTTAAAATGGCTTACCACAGTCTATTTTAGTCTACATTTAATGATTTTTGAACTTCCAAGGGAGGGGAAAAAACCCCACTGCTTCACCATGTGGTTAAACATTATGCGGCAACATTACTGAAAGACATTACAAAATAACGTTGCTAAAATAAATTCCTGCTTGAACTCTGCCTGTAATATTTTTCAGAAAGCTCAGCACACACTGGCCTTCTTCCCACACAGCACTGAAGCACATACTTAACTCTAACCAGGTACACACTCTTCTTGGAGTCAACAGGACTAATCACGTGCTTCAAGTTATGCATCTGCCTGTAATAGCTAGTTGAACTGAGGGTTTTACACCTAAAAGTTGCACGTTATAAACTGGAAATATTATTTCTGGGTGAACGTATAAATACGTTGGCAGAGATACTTCAAAACCATTTAAGAAATTCAACTCCTTTTAAGACAACACGTCCAGCCCCAGCACACTACTTTGAAAATCTAAAATCAACACGGCACAGTATACTACATATGCATATGGATGCCACACATACTCTATGTGAATGTTTCATGCACACAAAATAGCACAGCAGAATTGCTCTAAACATAAATTGAGACCATATGATATCAGATTTTAGCTGCAGTTTCAACAGCAGCAAATTGCTGGCACTGCCTGCTTATTATTAATCTCAAAAGGCAGTATGAAAATAATATTTTAACCTTTCATTAACATGCTCTTTGCTAATAAAATCATCCCAGAGCCATCCATGCACATAGCTAGTGTCAACTACTTAAAATGCAGAATAAATTAAATGCTACTTACATATGGCGAAGGAATACCCAGCTAACGTCATACAATCTCTAATGTCAGTCCTTACACTGGTGCAGTCCTCACAACTAACATGGCCAAACCCTGTGCTTCATCTTCAGAATATGCCCTTCCACAAGATAAGTCTGATCTACCTGCTCCACTCTCCAATCCCATCAAAAAGATCACAGTCACGCTGGCTCTTGTGCTATGAGTGCCAAAACGAGCTCTGTCACAAGCACTTTGTCTCTACCACTGCAAAACGCCACGGGCATTTATTATCCTACAAGGAGGCCACGTCCCAGTAAAGAAACTGGAGTTCTGTGGAAAGACAGCTGTGAAAGGGATATGTGGGAAGACCGGGGAACCTTGCACACTTACCTACCATTAACAAAACAGTGTTAATAATCCTACTTATCTTCCTAAGGGAAAAGTCACATTGATGAGACAAACATCCTTATCTCCATTTTAATTCACATTCGTGCCCTCTGCTAAAGGAAGGAGCTCACTGAGAGTTTATCTGACTTACTGTTGGTGCATATCCCACTGAAGTCAATAAAGACTCTCGCTAACTTTGCTTTCTTTCCATCAGGCATTGATATTCGTAGCCAAACACAGAGAATGCCAGAAGACATCTTTCCCAAAGAATCATACTTTCCCTTCCCATTTTGCCAAGTATAAGCATTGATCAATATAAAGTTAATTTAGATAGACAGATAAGAGAAGAGACACAGAAGGTGCTGGACATCAAAACACTCATCTGCTAAAAGTTTCTTTCACTACCTGCAGAATAGGGTTCTTGCTTCTCACTGTGAATGAATTCTTTTCTTTCATATTTGGCTCTGATCCACTGTTCCCGCAGCAGTCTGTAAAAAAACAAAAAACAACAACAAAGTAGGAAAAAAAAGTACAGGAAAGGAGATACGGTCCAAGATAAGCTAAGGAAGAACTCATATCATCATTTATTCAATGCAGAACACAAGTGTGATTTAAAAGTCTTCCAAAAATTAAATTGTACAGCCTGGAGTCACAGGTCTCCTCCATTTGCTGTGAGACAACAATAAATCAATTGTTTCCTTTCACACCCAATTTAGTGGAAACTCATGTAATAAAGTTTTCAGCATTAGCAGAACATCCCATTCCCACCCACCCAACTAGCCTCTGTATAAAATTCCCTTAGCGTAAGGACAATTCCAAATGTAATTTCCTCAGACTGGACTCTTTAATAAAAGCGATCACTGAATGAAAAAAAAAAACCAACACAAAACAAAAGAAAAACAAAAGAAAAACAAAAGAAAAAAAATCATTCCCTAAAGCTATAAAAGCAAAAATTGGGTCTGCTTTGAGCAACGCACGCACGTGTCCGCCTTTTGCCAGTTCAAGATGTAGAGATACTGTCTCCTTGTCATGCCTCGAGAGCTTTTCAAAGTTCATGATGTGTTGGGATGAAGTTACACTTAACGATGATGAGTGGAGCTCGCTGGGGGCAGTCCAAGGAGGGGTTCCTGAAAACCCAAGGAGGATGCTAGAAACGCCTGAGACACTTGTGACTCAGTGACCACGGAGCCTGCTGTAAGGTGTCATGCATTTCCCAAACTAGAAACAGAGAATTCAATCCACTGGTCTCCTCTTCAAAATGAGAGCACAAAAGGAGCATGGGACAGTCACATCCCAGGCCATATCCAACCTCTTGGAAGGAAGCAGGGTGTGAGAAATGAAAAAGCATCAAAAACACCGAGAGAACACGTCTGCGTGCCGATGCTAGCACTGAGCCTTGTGGAACATACTGCCCAGACAGAAGAGGGTGGTGGGAACCCAGGTGACAGAGCTCTGCCAAAGTGACAGCCTGCGCTTCTGTATCTCAGCAAAAACATTCCATTATTAAGTGTTTCACTTTTCATATTGAAAATTATATCAGTGATTTACATATCAATGAATTTACTTTCAGAAGGGAAAAAAAAACCCCACAGGCCAAAGATTTCAAAAACTTTTTTGTTATTTTATTTTAGCAGAACTCCTAGAATTAATGAAGGGCACAGCCAGTTTTGATCTGGAATATGCTAGGAGTTGCTTTAAACCATTTTTAATTGCACTCAGCTACTAACTGCCCTAGAATCTTAAATAGCCCAAGCAGGCAGAGAACATGCACAGATAGAAAGCCATGCGTCTTTCCAACTTTACATTTACAAGTGGCCTACACTGATGACAGTAAAAGATCCCCCAGGGGCCGGCCATGCTCTGTAAAACCCACCACACTTGAACATATCAGTTGCTGTGCTAAGGAAAATTGTTGATATGTTTGAAAATCTCTTTTTTTTTTGGCTCACAATGCAAATTAAAGACTATTTTTTCAGTAGAAACATTCCAGAAATGTTCAAAGAAGATAAGCGTATTACTGTTGCTTATGAAAATTCATCTGGAAGGACAGCTACCAACTTCATCAAATTTGCAAGATGCTATTCAACCAGAACTGTGGGTGCAACCAGTTTCCTGGTGGTAAAGAAGCAGATAATTACACATATTTTCTCCCACCCATTGTTTCATCTCTTTGGTTGGGGGCACCAGCCTTCTCCTACAGGAGACACAGGAAACACCACAATGCCACTGTGCCTGAAACTCAAATGTGAGCCACTTGTACTATTGTGATAGAAATCTACTGAATCTGCCTTTCCCTCTTTATTCCAAGTTTTCAAAACTGATCTTTGCCTGTTACATGCGTATCTACAAGCTAAGACTGTGAACCTCAAAGAACACCCCTCTCCCTTCTGTTGTCACCTTGTGATACACGCTGGTCTCGAGCACAACCTACGTTCAGTTGGTTGCAGGAGGTTGAGACAGGCTTTGTAGAAGTGCGCAAGGCGGGTGTTCTGGGTTACGCCGGGTGTCCTTTCTAGATCAGATATCTAACACATCATTATCTTTACCTGCAGGAGACTAGATCTGGTGACCCAAAAGGTAGCCTTTAATCACCTACTTCTATGGCTCATCAACAAAACTACTAAAACTTAATCACAAAATCAGCACAAATACTTAAAAGTTGTTACTGTGCTTCCGTTTTTTTCAGCCTGGCTGCTGCAGACAGCTTGCAATCGCTATAGCCAAACTCGGGCCTTTTCAACAACACGATTAGGGATTTAACTCTAAGAAGCTGACTTCAGCAGATTCGGCAGGAGCTGCAGCTGTTCAGAGTCTCTGAAAGTCAACCTTCCTATAGAATGTTTAAATACAGTATAAATTAAGGTTCATGTGCAGCAGTGGGAAAACATTCTCTTGCTGTATAAAGCCAATACTACAACAGAGACACTCTGCTGGTCTCACGCCTTCGGGAACACCGTTCGGCAGCGACTTATCTCCCGTGGCACTGTCAATGACAGTTCAATGTCTCCACAGCTTTTGTGCATGTGAGTGCAGATCCAGAAGCCACGAGGCGCCTAGCCCAAACCGGCGTCCCAAGAGGCCGTCCAGCTGCCAAACACTCTCGATAACCTCAGCCGGTGTTCGGGCTGGATCCTGACGGGCTCTGATGGCAACTCTCAAGGACGACAGGACTCCAGCCATGTGACTTGCCCAGCCCACACTGCCTTCTGACAGCTTGAACATTCCTCCCCGTTCCTTTTCATCACAAGTCCAGGATCCTTCAGCAGCAGTTCCTCCATAACCAAGATGCACCAGAGAAGCCCACCATTAGGACAATTCAGTGCAAGGCCAGCGACTGCAGTCTCTGCGCCACAGGTTATTCAGAGAAAGTAGAACAACTCCAGCAAGAGAAACAGAAAGAGAGACCTGAGCGGGACAGCCAGCAGTCTGGCATCTCCCTTCAGTGGGACAGAGATGCTGACCGGCAACTTGACCGTACTCACTACGACGGACTCGGGGCAAACCTGCCACAAGCAACCGCTTGCAAGTCTGGATTTAAAACCTGGTTTCACTGACACAGCCTAGATGAATTTAAAAAGGAACAGGAATCCGTCCTGGTATCCATGGGATCTGAAAGTAATTAGAGGGCAGGGCCAATCCAAAGCCCCCTTAAGCCAGTTAGTCTCTCTACTATTTTCAGTTGACTTCAGATCTGATCTCCGTTTCATTTTAAGTATGCCTTTAGGGACCTTCTAGGCATTTGCTGCTGAGAGAATTCTGTGTTTTGCTTGAACTGTATTTTCCTTGAGGTAAAGATGTACGTACATAACCTGGGGCAGATATCACGTGCCTGGTACAGGACCTGCTGTCCAAAACTCCTTTTCTTTTCAATTGAGTTCTGTGAACAGAAATGATTCTAGCAATAGCCTTATGGTATTTTATCGCATTTTTGGCGAAGGGATATGTAGCAAGTACACAGTTCGCATTTGCTAGAAAAATATAACTGTATCATTCCTAAACTGAGGAGATGCACAGCTTTTGGGATCTAATCCAAAAGCTTTAACAGCCCACCTAAAGTCTGGCAGGCTGCTGGTTACAGGGAGTATGTCATTTTTGGCAATTAGAACAGAAAGGTCTTTGTAATTAACAAGATAAAAACCTGGGAGCAGGGAACAAATAAAAAAATTAATGGAAGACCACACTTCCAATGGAACAAGTAAGAAAAAGTCCACTGAACACAATAGGACTGGGCTGCTCTGGGGCGACGGCAGAACGAGAGGCTGACGAAGTACTGCCAGCACTAACTCCAAACCTCATTTAAAAATACTTGTTTGCTTTCCTGGCCACCCACATAAAACGAAGCACGCTCCATCAAAAGCACAGTGGAGCACTTCTGTCTTGGACCCACAGAAGCCAAAGAAACAGCTGACACAGGCTCGGGAGAAGCCTTTCTGTCGTCGCAAAAAGCGCCATGGGAAAATGGTTCTTATGCTCAAGTAGCTTAATATTAAGTTATCGCTGTGTGGCTTCATTGTGCTGCACGCAGGAAATCTGGTCAGCAAAATTAATAGCCTCCAGCTCATTCTTGCACAAGATCCCGCAGCTGGACTGCTTTTCCCAGGATGCTCTGTGGTTTCCCTGCTACTGATCTACCATGCAGAGCGCAGACACCGCGTGGCCGCGACGGCTCGTTGGACACGTAGCCCAGGCAAGAAGCCCGAGTCAGAAGTGAGAGGGGCCCAAAAGACAAACACCAAACGTCATGGCTCTCTGCATGTCATTGCTTGGCTCGATGGTGGCCCACAAGAAAGACAGAACAGACGCATGTGATCCAGAAATGTCTTTTCCAAAAGTCAAATTTGTTGCTTCTGGAATTTGACAGAGGTTTTTCCAACCAAAAAAAAAAGGGGGGGGGGGGAAGAAAAGGCAAAAAAGGAAAAAAAAAAAAAAAACACACACAGCTTTTCACAGGCAGCTTTGTGGACACAGCTATGCCAAGTTGCTGTCAAGCAATAATTTTAATGAAATTTTAAGTCCAAGTCCAAATTTTTCCTTAGAGTGTAAGAAAAACCATTGCAACTTAGAGTATTAAGTCCATCTAGCCTCAGAGCCTGTCTCTACACCCTTTCCTATCTGATTTGTGTCTGCTAAGTCCCCGCTGGGAGGACTCGCATTCAAATGGCTTTTGGAGGCCTGGGGGCTTGATCCAGGCACTCTGTGCCCCAACCCCGGCGCTGCCGAGCCCCTGGGAGCGACACGCCATCTGCCCCAAAAACCCGTGGCCAACAGCAAACATCTGGAGGGGCGAATAGGGATGGGATTTTTGGCTATCCAAGCATGAAATCTCCCATCATGGATATGAGGAACTTAAAGCTGAATTTGCATAGGAAGAATTATAACATGCCTAATTAAAATCCTGCATGATCCAGTTTACCACAACACTGTTTTCCAGAACGGTGAAACGTTTAGATTAAAAATATGTAGGAAACTCAGTACAATTTTAACCCAG